AAATATATAAGTATGTAAAATATATATATATATAAAAAAAAAAATAATTTTTTCAAACAAAAAGGCTCTAAGTACCCGTTTTGCCCTGTCTGTACTGATGTTTTTATCTATCTTTGATCCCACCATTGCCTGTCCTTATTTTAAAAAAAAAAAAAAATATCGTACTTCCATTTTCCTAATCCTCAAGACTTGCATGGTATTCTGACTATCCCAACTCCATCCTCTGCTGGTTTTTATTAGCATATTCCTATTCTTTGTGAAGGCTGTAAGATACATTCTTTTTCGAAAGTCCATTAATAAATTCTTCTAGTCTAATTTTCAGCATTTTCCATTATTTCCTTGTCAGCTAGTTCTGTACAGTCTATTGGTTACATATTAGTGTGCATCTTCAGTCTTGACTATCTGTTCTGTGCCTGTTGTCTTTGTATCTTAAAAAATCCCCCAAAACCCAAGCAACCTCCAAAAAACAAACTACAAAAAACAAGCAAGCCAAAAAAACCCCTTTGCTTTCTAAATACTTTTTTATTCTTTCTTGAAGTCTTAATTTCATTTTTGGTCTCAAGGAAATGAAGTGACCTTCAGGAGGGGAGGAGTCCATGTGTAATGCCTCTTTATATAAGTCTTCTTTCCAATTATTCCAGTTACTTGGAATTTCAGGGAGATATAGCAAGGGCATGAAAATGCCCAGTGTTTTGTGCCTTGGTGGTTGCAACATTGTGGTATCCACAAGTGTGTACACGTACCAGTTAAATTCTTGTTATGGGTAAGTAGACAATTTTGGTTTAGTATAATAAAACCGAAGATATGCTTACAGTAACCTACGATGCTAACAAATGTTGCTGTGTCAGGATGATTCCACAGGGTATAGTCTTGTTTCTTGCAATTTCAGTGTTCCAATAGCTATTTCCTTTCTTTAGATTAACAACAAAGCAGCAACTGGTGAAGAAGTTCCACGAACTATAATTGTTACTACCCGTTCTCAGTATGGCTTACCAGAGGATGCTGTTGTATACTGTAACTTTAATCAGCTGTATAAGATTGATCCTTCCACTTTACAGATGTGGGCTAATGTGAGTATCTGTTTCTAATAGGAAATCTAAGGTCAGAATTCTGGAACATAGCTGGTCTGTTCAAGTTAGGAGAAACTTCATGCAAGTTAAAACTGTAACTGTTCTGTGAAAACATTGACCTGAGCCATTTGAATCCTTACAATGCTCATGTTGCGGGACTTAATAGAACATAGAATTTTTTAGATTTATTTCAAATAGCATCTGTGCTTCTAGCCAGTGAAAAATTACATCTTGGCCAGCTTAAATATGCTTGTACTCCATTGTGAAATAAGTTGGGCCTTCCCTAATCTGCACAATTAAGTCACAACTGGCCTTGGCAGTTGGTAGATTGATAGATCTGAGCACTGAGTGTCTGTATCAAGGTCCAGTTTATAGTGCATTGCTGGGAGTTACTTGAGGGGTAATTTTTTTATATTCCATAGCAAGGGCCTGTAAATAAATGAGACCATAAATTTCAAGACTTACTAAGTACTGGTCCCTGAACTGTTGCTCAGAGTTGCTATCTCTTTCAGTGGGATTAGAAATGCAGTCCTAGTTATTCTACTTGAAACGGTGATCTATTTTTTTCCTGCTCTGTACCTCAGAAGATTAAAATACTGAATGATTATGCCTTTTACTTCATTTCAGTATGTGGTAATTTCTTGTTTGGAAAAGGAAATGTTTCTGGCTGAACTTTCTGTATTTGCTTCTTTATTTTTGTTTCAGATCCTAAAAAGAGTTCCAAACAGCGTGCTGTGGCTGCTGCGTTTCCCAGCTGTAGGAGAACCCAATATTCAGCAATATGCACAAAACTTGGGTCTTTCCCAAAACCGAATCATCTTTTCTCCTGTTGCCCCCAAAGAAGAACATGTGAGGAGAGGGCAATTGGCTGATGTTTGTCTAGACACTCCGCTTTGCAATGGGCACACAACAGGGATGGATGTACTGTGGGCTGGGACTCCAATGGTCACTATGCCAGGTAATATACTGGGGAACCTACGTAGAACAGATGGGTTTGAATATTATTAATTTTTTAATAACAAACAGCAAGCCCAACAAACTTTGCCTCTTGTAGAGGCAGAAGGAAAGTAACTCATACTCTGCAATATGTTACTTGATAAGCCTATTCCTGTTACTTTTTTTTTTTTTTTTTTTTTTTTCAGGGGGGGATCTTGCATCACCGA